CCACAGTTCAACCCCAAATGGATGTATTTGAAAGGAACGTGGCTAACACAGGCTCGTCAAAATGGATGACACCCAATCTACAGTGTCTGATTTTCAAAGCCTCACTCTCCTTCTGCCCCCATGGCCATTTCTAGGTCTTTCAAGAGAAGAAGGTCTTCTTCAGCTTCCTGGGGTGAGGGGTGCAGGCAGAAGGGAGCCTGAAACCCTCCCTCTCCACACGAACCCTCAGAGATAGGCCGCCTGCCACCCCAGGCTCACACGACGGACGGGAAGCCACGCTGCTTCCCAGGCAGCAGTCACTTGTGTGCTGTAAACAGTGACCTTGTCATTAAAAGTATATCCTACGTGGCAGCCACTGGCTTTGTTCAGGACCCAAACCCTCTGTCGCCAGAGATACCAACAGCCCTGTTTGCTCGTCAGCTCTGAGGTGATGGCCTACGGATGTGATGACCTTCTTCATTCTAACAGATTCTCCTGCTGTTTGGAGACTAGGAATGAAGAACCCTACTTAGTTTAATGCCCCCTGAACGTTAGACTGATTTGAAAACATCGTCGTTGTTTTGACAAGGATGTTGACATTTCAGACAGAAGAGCCACGCACAGTGGGGATGCCTCGGGCTCAGATCCAGCAAATTGGAAGGACTTCACGCAGCCCGGCTGAGGGTAGCGGCTCTGGAGCACGAGGTATGGTTTCCACCCTCATTTCCCACCTCCACGCTGGGTGGTCTTGGGCGAGTTTCATCATCTCTAAATCTTAATGGCACTGGAAGCGTAAAGATCACTGGGAGGTTTATATGTGACAATGCACTGAAAGCATTTTGCTCTACACCTTAAAGGCATGCAGTACCTGGCATATATATAATAGATATATAATATACGTAATAATAACTAATAGTGTTGCTTTTATTCCATTGTCAGGGCTGCCATAACAAAGTACCATAGACAACAGAAATGGATTCTCTCACAGTCTGGAGGCTGGAAGTCCAAGATCAAGATGTCGGCAGGGTTGGTTCCTTCTGAGGCCATGAGGGAGGGTCTGCTCCAGGGCTCTCTCCTAGGCTTGCAGGCAGCCGTCTTCTTCCCGTGTCTTCTCACATCATCTTTCCTCTGTGCGTGTCTGTCTCTGTGTCCAGATTTCCCATTTTTCTAAGGTCACCAGTCACATTGGATTAGGGTCCATCCTGGACCTCCTTTTACCTTGATTTTCTTGTTAAAGATCCAATCTCCGAAAACAGTCAACTTCTGAGATGAGCACTTCAAAATACGACTTTGGAGGGGACACAATTCAACCCGTAACACTGTTGCTATAAATAACAATAATAATAATTGATATTTTTACTGTAATTATCATGATCATTTTTGGAGCAGAGGTCATTCATTCCAGGGAAGTACGTGATGTCTTTGAAACTGAGAATTCTTACCCACTATCTCGTAATAGCTGACTGAGAAGCGGGTGACTGGTTAAATGAAAGAACGAGTAAGTGGGTGAATTGTGGGCAGGATGTAAGTACCACTAAGGATTTATAACCAACAGGACTAACAGAGCTCCCAGCACTCGAGGGAATGAGTCACAGACACGAATAAGATACCCCATAAAGAACCTGCAGTTCCAAGCCCACAGCAATAGGAGGTCAAAGCAAAGACGTCTGTCTCAGAGGAACCAAGGTCAGAAAGAAAGTTGCAGCAAAGCAGGCTTGAGGACTTCCCTGGCGGTCCAGTGGTTACGACTCCACACTTCCACTGCAGGGGGCACGGGTTTGATTCCTTATCAGGGAACTAGGATCCTGCATGCCACGGTGCGGCCAAAAAATAAAAATATATTAAAAAAATAATTCTTATTAAAAGAAGAAAAAGCAGGCTTGATGCTGAGTGGGGCTCCCTTTCCCCTCCCCCACTCCCCAGCTCTGTACTTCACCTCTCAGTACCTCAGGGTCCACAGAGTTGAATCTACGGGTAACTGTAAAATCACCCAGCTCAGAACCTACACATCACACCATCATATGCCCACAAACATGTTAGGTTTTTTTTCCTTCCCGCAATTATGTGAAGCTTCACAATTCTGGACCCTTCGGGATGGCCCCAGGAAGCCCAGGGATCAGCAGTGGAAATCCTGGAGGAAGTGCCCAGGGCTCTCCTCACTGCAGCAGGGGCGGGAAAGCCCTCCAAGCACAGAATTTCCATGGAAACCACCCTGAGGCGTGACTCAGAGGACATGGGCCTGTTTGACTTAGGTTACATTGTCGCCAGGTTGAGAGCATGGGGGCAACATGGCCTACGGTGCGTAAGAGACTCAGTGGATTTGGGGTTATACTTAGAGGGTTTGTTTGTTTGTTTGATTTTAGTATAAGAGAAAATTGCTTTATTTCAAAGGCCAAACTCATTTTCCTCAGAAGTCAAAATATTATTTAATATATACCTATTAGCCAACTGGAGTTGAATTATAACTTAAAAATGAGAAATAAGAATGTCCTTTATGAAAAGCAATAGGGGGGCTTCCCTGGTGGCGCAGTGGCTAAGAATCCACCTGCCGATGCAGGGGACACGGGTTCTAGCCCTGGTCCGGGAAGGTCCCACATGCTGCGGAGAAACTAAGCCCGTGCTAAGCCCGTGTGCTACAACTACTGAGCCCGCGAGCCACAACTACTGAGCCCGCGCCCCTACAGCCCGTGCTCCACAACAAGAGAAGCCACCGCAATGAGAAGCCCCGCACCGCAACGAAGAGTAGCCCCCGCTCACCGCAACTAGAGAAAGCCCGCGCGCAGGAACAAAGACCTAACTCAGCCAAAAATAAATAAGTTTATTTCAAAAAAATAAAAATCAGTGGGACACACACACAAAATCTAAATCCCTAATTCAACAGGCTGATTGTAAATATGATTGTAAGTAGCCTGTGGGCTACTCCTACTTCCAACAAAATATGCCTCCTTCCGGGTGACAGTAAAGCTCAGATAAACAGATAAACAGACACAGGGAGTCTGACTGATTAATATGAAGGGTGCTAGAAGGGCAGAACTTCGGAAGAAGAGAAAGTAAAAACGCCCCCCAAAAGGTATTATCAGTCTCCTACTGATTTGACAAAACAGCCTCATTTGTTCTTGGAACTCGATTCACAGTTGATGGTGAATTACAGAAAGGGCAAAAAGATGAAATTCCTTAAAGTATAATTCTCAAGCGTATGGAAAGGATTCAAAGAACCTGTAAAACTGAACACAGATCATGCTTTGTCTTCAAGGAAAATCGTATTTGAATTACCAACCTAAATATTTCAGTACACTTTTATGAGACAAACATTTTCTTGGGATGATAAAATATGCATTTTGCAAAAAATAGAAACCATGTCCAAAAGGACTGAAATACGTATTGAGGGTGTGTGTGTGTGTGCACATACACACATATGTACTTATATAATATAGACATCAATATGCATACACACCACATACATGCCCTGTATCACATTCATACACTATCTATCTATACACACACACACTAGTAGTCATTATTCATACCAGATCTATTTCTGAATACTGTGATCCAGCCTCACAGCCCCCACTTAATGGAGATGCACTACCACTGTGCCAATCACCAGGGTAAAACGCTGTGCCTATAGTTAAAGTTTAGTTTTACACTTAGAATTCACAGTTGGTCTCACAGACACAATGGGATTTGAGTATTTAACCGTTCTCAGGACTTCATAAAGACGAGTAAAAGAGAGATCCCATTGCTTTTGGAGAAGGAGAAAATGAGTGGTTTGTGCAATATTTATAATAAATGTAGATGGAATCCCAAACAAGAATTTGTCTTTAGGATGAACAGCTGAATTGGCAATACCCGGGCTAGCTAAGGGTCGTGAGCTCCTTGACCGTATTCGGTTCAAGGACTTTGATAAAGGACCGGTCATGGGGTTTTGAAGGTCCAGCCAGCTCCCACTGCGACACTGCCTACTGTGGACAATGGATCCTCTTTGGAAGAGCTTGGACCTTGTTAGGACAGAGAACGGCTGCACCAGGGTCAGACCTGAGAAACCAAACAACAGCAACGCACCCGCTCCCAGTCCCTGACCAGCCCTGGCGTCTGGACACACAGAACCCAGAGCAGAGGTCAAGTCCTCTGCAAACTGGCAGCAGGCGTGGCTCTGGGGCGATTCTGCAGACAGCCCAGTCACCCTCAGCTGGTTGGCTGAAGGATCGAATTTTACCACCTGTTGGAGACAGCGTCTGATTTTGTTCCAATATCTGAAGAAACTTTTAAAGCCAGAGTGCAATCACGTGGCCTCCTTTCCACATCCAGCGGGGGCTGGGAGGGCAGAGACAGACACGAAGTTGTCCTGCTGCCTGCAGTGCAGACGGTGTGCCGCAGACAATACGCATAATGGGAGACTTAATCAAATTTCAGTTTTCAACTCTGAACCCTGAATGGAGCCCGCCTTGTCCCCAAGTCATCAGCTAAAGAGAAAAGGCTACACCAAGTGACCACGTGGATACGCTGATTGCTGACCTCGTGGATGTCGGACGTTGGAAAGGATCAGGGGGCTCAGGGGGTTCCCTGAAGAGGAGGGGTCCCAGCAGGGCTTTGAAGGAGACGTAGGGTCCATGAAGGCAAAGTGAGAAGGGAGATCTTTCAGAGCCCCACACCCCAATCTATAAACCAGTCTTTCCCATTTTCTCATCAGTATTTGTCAGCATCATTTACCTTGAAAATTCTGTGCAAACGAAAACCATTAAAAGCAGTTCAGTTAATTCAAGATAATTATTTCAGTGGAAGAGATTTTTGTTTTCCTAACCCCCTCTCTGTCTGCAGAGAGGCAGCTCTTGGTTACACCTACCGTGGAAAGCCTTCGCTCTGCTTACTTTAAAGAATAAGCCACTGTTTGATTTGGTTTCTCATTTTCAATATGTAAACCCTGGTCTCTTGTGTCTCCATTCCAGGAAGGAAAAAGAAAAGAACAAAGCTCTTTAAATATCAGAGTGATGGCTGCTTACAGATGCACACAGCCTCCATACCTTATATAACAGCAGCTTAGGGGGATGCGTAAGAATTTCCCGGCTGGCAACCTCGATTTGACAGGTGAACCTCCACTGAACCAATCACTTCTTATTTGGCTGCAATTTGTTTCGTTTTGCTGGCTGCATTGCAAGAGTGTGTATTTATTCCAAAAGGCCGTTCACCTATTCCACGGTTCAAAGGGACCATTTTGTTCATTTGAAGGGTGACTGTAACGATATAGGGAGACACAGCCAAGGAAGGTGAGTTAGAATTGTGAGTCAACTTAGTAGGAAAACTTAGGAGTATAAACCACAAAAAACAAAATAAAAATATCATTCCTTCGTTTTAAAAAAAATTGAAAAAACAAACAAACAAAAAACCGCTAGAGCAAACCACACTGCGAGAGTTTTACTCTATACTAAAAGTAATAATCACAGCTGCCGTAAATACTTCGTTTATTTGTTTGATTCATATTCTGCATTGGCAACATATTCTGTCTGCTTGATTTAACTAACCCATAGCAAATGAAAATAGAGATTCATATAAATTTGTACCTAGATTGTAATGGAGTCCCTACCTGAACTTAGGGTTTACTTGATTGGATGAATAGTGATGTGTCTTACCCACCTCCTGCCGTACTGCTTGCCGCGTGACAGGACAATAGGTCAAGAGACCAGTTGTTGGGACAAGGAATAGTGACTTTATTCAGAAAGCCAGCAGACTGAGAAGATGGTGGACTAGTGTCCCAAAGACCCATCTTCCCTGAGTTAGAATTCAGGCTTCTTTTACACTAAAAGGGTAAGGGGTAAAAGTCCTGGTTCTGGTAAGACTTAGGAGGGGATATGTTCATTGCTTCCTTCCTGCAGCCATTCACAGGTGGGCCTGGTCAGGATGTCTCCTGTGAGCTAAAAAAAGGTGTCTTAGCTTAACGCCCATAACCTGGGAGGCACACTTCCCAGAGATGGGCCAGTATGCAGGAATTAAGCTTATAAGCAGCACCCCCTTAGTGATAAACTCACAATAGAATACAAAGGTTCTTCTCTGCTACATGAATAGCTTTCCCTACCCCCATGGGTCGGCCCACTTCCAGTGAACAAAAAACTAGACTGTGGCTCCATCATCTATCTTTTTATTCAGAAAAGGCCATGCTCGCAGCAAGGATGAGGGCAAGTATTTCCAAAAAGTGGCAGGTGTACTAGCTACGATCATATTCGACAAAAATCTTGCTTGGCCAATCAAAGGCTATCTTCAGGTAGGACAGGTGGCTGTCGTTGGTTGTACCATATTGAAATATATGATCTACATCAGATTTTTATAATCATACTGCAGTGGTTTTCACAGATGTTTGGCCTGTAAACATGCTGAAGTTTATAATTTATGTGCTACCATCTACCTGTATCTATGGAGGCTACGAGAAAGAAACCAGAACCACTTGGGAGCCGAAAAGCATCTGAATGAACTTCATCACGGACTGCCATAGGACTTTCGGATCTGAGTCCCCTCTGAGTCTGATTTTCCTCAAATGTGAAAATGCAGACAATATGACCTACAGCAGAGCTGGTGCAACTGCCAAGTTCACGTGGGTGGAAGGAGGGCTGAGCACGCTGCCTGGCGGGAGAGAGGCATTCGGGGATGCTAACCAACGCCTTCCCCTTTAGAAACCTCCGCATCGTCCCAACGGCAAACACAAGCACTGACAGGTGTGTGTCTGACCCCTCGGCAGGTGTGCCGGGCTGGGAGCAGAGGTCAAGCATCTGGACGGCTGTATTTATCCACTAACTGACACCCTTGCTCTCTCTCCTTAGGCTCAGCCTGAATATCTAGATGCAGAAGCCCGCTCTCCCCTCGAGGTGGGAACGCAGAGTCATGGACGCGAATGCAGACGCGGTGGGGTAATTACAGCTGTGTGCTGCCCATCAAGCCTTTCCTGTTATTTACATGCTCAGAGGAAGTGGGCCCTCTTCACAACCATGGTATCGACCCTGGGACTTGTACCAAACAGAACCTCAAACACAAACCAGAACCAACTGCGCTAATTTGCTGAACCCCAAATGGATCCAAATTCAAAGCTTTTATTTTCGAAAGTGCCAGTAGGGAACCACAGTTTCAAAAACACCAGGAAAACAGTCTCAACAGGACATCACTACAGGAAAGTTTCCTGCAATCTATTTCAGTGTGCTGTGGGTTTTTCTTCTTCTACTTTCTCAAATTGCTGAATTCGTCATTAAAACAATAACCGAAGTAATTTGACGTCTCCTCCATGGAGCCACGCTTTATTGACCCTAAGATCTCTCAATCAAATGGAGATATGATCAGTGTGATCAATTTAGAGATTTCTACGGCATCTATTCTGTGACATAGTAAATCTATGTCTCTGTGAGACAAGTACATTGATTTTTTTCCAGAGCAGAATTATTTTTTTCAGTTCTAAGAAAGAACTGCTGAGGGCTGCAGAGCTGAGCAGATCGCCCCACGGAAGAATCTGCTTGGTTGATAAGATGGTTTAGAAGAAAAATCACCTTACTGCACATCCTGAATAACTGTCAGACTAGGTCACAAACGCTGTTTGACTGGACCGTACCAAAATATTTAAGGTATCGAATTTTCCAGAGCTCAAGGTAACTGTCTTGCCTAAGACCTGGACCTCAGCTTAGATTTTCCCGTCATCCCTTCGTTCACAGCGACCATGTCTGCGGATCCAGTCTTTACTCTGTTGACTACACAGGTGTCTTTGTAATAATACCGCGTCTGATCTGAGTAAAAGGTAAACAGTAAAAGGTGATACTGAGTGCTGGGTGGTCATCACCTGAAGACAGGGTTCAAGGACCTAGCCAAGACCTGAAGCTGGATATGACTAAGTAATTCTGTAAGTCCTCAAACAAGCACAGTGAGGTGTTTATCAGAGCAAAGAGATGCTCCTTTACAAAAGAAAAAACATTTTCTTGATCTGTGGAAATGGCAGAACATCTCCCCTCTACCATGATGGGCAGCCTCTGCCTTGAACAGCAAACTTGCAGATTAATGAAGGTAGTAAAATACAGCACATCCTCCTGCCTCCAGGTATAATATTTTATTCATAGAAGAGCTGTGTGAGCCTTGATGTATATGGACTTCCATTAAAAGGCAAAATTCAATCTGAAGGTGTCACCTCCAGGCTCCCTTAAATTCAACTCTCAGTCAGATGTGCTGGGCGTCCCCCCTCCTCAGGTAATTCTTCCCAAAAAAGAAAAAGAAAAAGCAGGGGAAAAGGAAAGACAAGCAGGTTAGAAACAACTTGAGCGCCAGTATAACTCGTGCGGGTCTAGGTAGAGCCCTGAATCCCCCAGTCACAGAGAGAACAGCTCTAGGTTCCAGTAGAGCCATTTTATTTTATTCTCTAAATTTGTACTCCCAAGTTTATTTATTTATTTTATTAATCGAAGTATAGTTGACTTACAATGTTGTGTTAGTTTCTGGTGTACAGCACAGTGATATATATATAAAAAATATATATGTGTATATATATACATATGTATATATTCTTTTCCATTATGGTTTATTACAAGATATTGAATATGGTTACCCGTGCTATACAGTAGGTCCTTGTTGTTTATCTATTTTTTATATAGTAGTGTGTATCCGTTAATCCCCAATTTCTAATTTATCCCTCCACCTCTTCCCCTTTGGTAACTGTAAGTTTTGTTTTCTATGTCTGCGAGTCTGTTTCTGTTTTGTACATAAAATTCACTTGTATCATTTTTTTACATTCTACATATAAGTGATAGCACATGACATTTGTCTTTCTCTGACTTACTTCACTTAGTACGATAATCTCCAGGTCCATCCATGTTGCCGCAAATGGCATTATTTCATTCCTTTTTATGGCTGAGTAATATTCCATTGTATACATGTACCACATCTTTTTATCCATCCATCTGTTGATGGACATTTAGGTTGTTTCCGTGTCATGGCTATTGTAAACAGCGCTGCAATGAACATTGGGGTGCGTATAACCTTTCAAACCATGTTTTTCTCCAGATATATGCCCAGGAGTGGGATTGCTGGATCACATGGTAGCTCTATTTTTAGTGTTTTTTTGAGGACCCTCCATACTGTTCTCCATAGTGACTGCACCAATTTACATTCCCACCAACGGTGTAGGAGGGTTCTCTTTTCAGAAGAGCAATTTAAAATCTTGTCAGATAGGTAATGTGTGGTGTCAGATACACCAAAATGTGTGATTTATTTTCTCCATAAATTGTGAATGTTTTCCAATTAGCCCCAAACCTTTAAGAAGCTCTAATTTGCCTTAAATAAAAATTCAATTATACATTTATCATCACTTCTATTCTCAAGTGTTTGATTTCTTTAGGTTCAGAGCCTTCATTCATCCACTCATTCATTCATTCACTTGGTTCCGAGCCTGACATCACACAAAAGCAGAATTGCAGGAAGTGTATAAAATCATGTAGGGACCCCCAAGTTGATTACTTTTAACTTTCTTAAACCATTAAAATGTAACTCAAGTACATAAATCTATCTGCCAAGAAAGGAAGTGGGGTGTTAAATTTTCTGATATATAGGACAGGATAGTGGACTCCTTGGGATTTGAAGCCCAGTATTTGAAGCTTCCAGCCATTCTAAGCCCTTGGCACTTGCCCATGACATTGGTGCAGGACCCTCGACCCACCCCAGAACGGCTCCAGTCTGGGCTGAGGGCAGGGATAAAGGCAGAGCTGCCCACCCCACAAGCTCACCGCTGGCTGCCACTCCCAGAGAAAACAGAAAGGTCAGCCCTTCCTTATGCAACTCCTAAAATTAATTTGGTGCTTAGCCTCAGAGGTGGATCAAAGGGTGGATTACCTGAGGTTGCCTCTGTACTAACAAAGGCATCTCTTCAGCATGGTAAATCGGTGTGATGGCCCTGGGCCCAGAGCAGCGATTTGAGAAAATCACCCATGGCAACAATTAGGCCATGAGTCTTCAGTGACTGCCAGGAATCTCACTGAATATTGGAGGGAGAGAGAAGTTATATGTAATCCAATTTAGAACAACAACATCAACTGAACATTCCCTGTTCTGCGAGGGCGAAACCCAGCCCAGGTCTGAAGGGACCCGATGGCTGTGCCTCCAGTGAGACATTTATCTCACAAAGCCTTGGCTTCCTCGTCTATAAAATGGGATATCAACCTCACAGGCTCCGTGAGGCTTCAAGGCCGGCACAGAAGCGCTCAGCACACAAGTTATTATTATTATGATCCTTCAGGCTGCTGTGATAGAAGGAAGCCCACACCAAGAAGCAAAGGCCTCCCAAACAAGGGAGCACCCTAATTGCCCTAATATAAGCCTCACAGAGATGCTCTCCGTGTGGAAGCTCAGAGGAGAGACCTGCAAGAAAGAGGTACAGAGCTGACATTATCAGCTCCAAGAGGAGGGAAAATTCAACCTCACAGCCTTCTTGCAGACCTGTGAATATCTGAAGTCTTTGAGAAAACTTCAACAAGGAAGAAATAGCAAAGCCACAAAAAATGAACTTTAGCAGCAGGAAGGAGCCCCTTTGGGCCCCAGCATCTCTGACCAAATGGAAGCAGATCTTGACAGGTGCTAATCAGGTGAGTGCTTCTGAAACACATGCCTCATTTTCCAGTGGAGACCCTCAGCCCTCACATGAACGGATGGAGGGCTGCAGTCACTGGTCAAGGAGCAAGAGATGGGTGAGGATGAATGATGGGGGAGGTCATCCTCAACGGGGCTGCACTCTGTCAGTTCCCAGGCATCTAAGGAATCACCTTTACTGGGAGAGGTAGGGGTCCAGGACGAAGCAATCGTCCCTTAATAACAACTATCTTTTATTCTACGTATTCTATGTGGCAGCAGTGTGGTGGCTATTTGAAGCAGGTGATACTTCTAATCCCCTCAATGGTCCTGGGACGTAATATTATTGAATCGGTTAGCTGGATAAGTGAAATGAGGCTCTGTGAGACTGAGTACCTTGCCCAGCTCAATACACATCGATACATATCACATTTTGTCCACCCTAACGTCCTTCCTTTCACTAGGATTCTGAATGCGGGTGGGCAGGAGAGCTGTCACATAGGGTGGATGCTGACCCAGGCTGCGGAATCAGGCTACCCCACAGGGTCCCCCGGTGACTGGTCTGGGAGTGAGCATGCAACCCATACAGAACCAGAATCATCTGGAGGAAACTTTGTATGATGTTGGGAAAATCTCTTTTCGAAATTGCTAACTCTGAAGGGAATGTAGGCCTGGGGCTGCCGGGAGCTTACTGTGTCAGGACTTCAACCCATAGGAATACAACACGGAGAGGTGAAGAGAGAAATAGACTCCTAGGAATTTCATCCCTGAGATCCAGCAGTGACGGGATCTCTGGGCCAACGGTTCTCAGAGTGGGATACCCAGGGCAGCAGCAGCAACATCCCTTTGGACCTTGTTGGAAGTGCAAATTTCAGCCACCCCAGACTCAGTGAATTGGAAACTCTGAAGGTGGGGTCCTCCAGGTGAGGCTGATGCAAGTTCCCCTAGAAAACCACGGCTCTAGGTCAACCACGGAGTCTTCACTTTCATGAGCTAATAAATGCCCTTTCTTTGCCTAGACTTTGATTAAAATAAAAGAAACAAAACCAAGATAGTTTTGAATTATTTTCATGAAAAAGTTAAAGTCTTTCTGTACATCCCAAGCAAACAATTATTTTCTAATGAGAAGCTTTTCACTACAGAGGTGCCTTGGGGGGGGTTTTAGTTTTGTTTTGTGTTTGTTAGTATCTGCCTGATGCTTACAAGAAAGAGGAAATTTGAAGCTCCATAGACAGAAGTCGCATTTGACGCCATGAGTGCTGAACAGTGGAAAGCACTGCTGGGGATATGGAATCTGAGTGGCTGTCATTTACACAGGAAGCAGTTAGCAATAGGAGTCCAGGCCACAGAGAAAGGAGGGGGCTGGGAGCGTAGATGTGGCCACTGGAGAACACCGCGATTCAAACAACATAAAACTCTAGTAAAGAGGAGAAAAATGACAGACGATGAAATCTTTGAAGAAAAATTTGAAGACTTGGAAATGACATGCATCCTTACCTTTGCTAAATGCATGGAGAAAGAATGGCCGAGAAAGGTATCACAGGAGATCAGAGGAAAGGAGAGCAGTGGATGAGGGGACAGTCCTCACCGGCAGTGGTCCACTGCATGCGGTGCTCCTAGAAAAGCAGGATGTGGCCAGTGGTTTAAAACTCCTCCCAGAGGTCCAGGGCTGTGGGCTTAGGAGCGTCCTTTGGATCTGCCCATGGAGAAGACTGGTGAGCTGTTTCAGCAGGGGATGGAGACGGGAGGGAAACTAAGCTGGAAAAGGAATGAGTAGATGCTACAGGCAGTTGTCCTGGGGGTGGTGCGTACACCCCAGGATACAGGTTGTGGATGGCAGGTGGCTGACGTGGAGCCTGGAGGAGGGCGTGTCCTAGGAGGATGGATGGCCGCATGCTTATAAACTGAGTGGAGGGGTGAGTAGGAAGCAATGGAAAAGAGAGGAGGTGTGAGGTATCCTATGAGGCAACCCTCTTGTAAAAGTGGGGAGGCTCATGGCTGCAGAGGTGTGAGAGAGAGAGAGACAGAGGCATCACAGGGCTCTCGGGCAGAGCTGGGCTGGAACCCCCTACCTTCTGGCTCCTGGGTTCCGTGCTTTCCATCCATAGGTCTGCACTCTGTCCCTCCAGAGTCACCCATCTGTTCATCCAACAAATGTTCAACGAGCACCTTCTACGCCAGGCAATGTGACCGTGCACAGAGACATAGCAACTCCCAAGGCGAGAGTCGTGTGACCAAGGCTGTCGCCCCAGAATCATACCCCTGCCCCTCCCTTGAATAGAAAACAATTACTGTTATCCAAGTTTCAGGAGGAAGCTACAAAGAGAAAAAAACAAGAACTTGTTCAAACCACCGTGACCCAAGATGGCATAAGATTCGACTTCCGGTGGACCTTGAGCCTCATTACAGGCTCACTGTGATGCATTAGCTAAATGACACACCAACCAGCTGCACACAGTTGCCAGTTGCCATGACGACAACCGGGAAAAGCCAAAACAAGGACTGAAAAGGACGGTTGCATCAATTCTGGGCCCAAGCCACAACCCTGTTTCCAGATAACTCATGTATTCCTCTCACTCTTTTCCAAATCCCTCCCTTTTACCTCGACCTTCCTATATACTTGGTGTCTCCACCCGAACTGTGTTGAGAAGTTGCTTTGCAAACTAGGTTCCCACTCCCCCATCCTTTGGCCACTGAATGAAACTGGTGCTGTTCCAGTCTCAGCATCAGTTTTGTTATTGGCTGCGTGAATCTGATCAGAAAAAGAGCCTCCCCAACCGAGACAGGTCGTCTCCACCCGGGCTACGACCCCAGCATGGGTCTGGTCAACAAATCTGGTAACAGTTGCAGGGTAGGGTTTGGGGCCTTAGCTCCTGCCCTGTGTAATCTCCAAGCCCTCAAGCCCCCTCAAATAGATGCTGGATATAAGTTAGAAAATAGCATTTGCCATGAAACTCAGCTTCCAAACAAGTGCCCTCCTCAGATCACCACCTCCCCACAGGTCCTCCCTGTAGAAATCCGGGGCTGCCCCTGCCCTGGGAGGTTTAGAGATGAGGACACCAACGACAGAAACTGTGACTGCAGAAACCCAAGGTCAAGGTAAGGAGGTAGTGACGATGCTGAACTGCGTAGAGCACAGAGGTCGACCCCAGGTGCTCCTGGGAGGCTCACGAGTCCATCAGAGCATGGAATTCCCGGAGGAAGCGAGAAGGGCCTGCGCCTTAGACCAATAGGAGCTACCCAGTTGGAGGAGGCGACTCACAAAGAGGCAACAGGATGTAGCAGGAGGAGAAGCAGGAGGACAGAATGACCAAGTGCAGGAAAACCCGGGCCATTTGGCATCCCCAGAGCAAGGGAGGAACTCCTGGGACCGTGAGGCCAAGCTGGTGATTGGGCTTCATCGTGAAGGCCATCGGGAAGCCCCGGGCACACGGCAAGACACCTGCCAGCACCGCGGATGGAAAAGAAACCAGTGCCAAGGCTGGAGGGTGAGAGTCACAATCCAGGCGAGAGGCAGGTGGTGGGCGGAGTTGCCAAAGGCAGCAGTAACAGTGGAAATGGGACAGCGGGGCAGAATGTGCAGGAGACAGCGTAACTGGGTTAGAAGGGGGCATGTGAAAAGCTGTGACAACGGGGGCAGATTTTGCATACGTGTGCAAGTCTGCCTTTCTCCCTGGGGACAGTTTTCATTCTTAAAGATGTCCGCGACCCAAGAAGACGTCCTTATCTAATTTTGGAGATGCATGCTGTCCATTGGGCGGGATTGGGTGTTTTACTGGTTAATGACAGGTAGGAACGGGGCGTCACTCTTAAGGCTTGTGGCTTCTCTCCAGGGAGCCTAGGGGGAGGGTAGCCTGCAGACACGCCAGGGAGAGGGCAGAGTCAGAGGGCACACGCGTTCACAGGTCGGCAAGTCTTAGGTGCACATGTTCTTTTGTGTGTTTTTTGATGTATCTATTTATTTCTTTATTTTTAAACATCTGTATTGGAGTATAATTGCTTTACAATGCTGTAAACATTTAGTTTCTGCTATTCGTATACATATATCCCCATATCCCTTCCATCCCACGTCTCCCTCTCACCCTCCCTACCCCACCCCTCTAGATGTGGCTATATATACAATGGAACATTACTCAGCCATAAAAAGAAACAAAATTGAGTTATTTGTAGTGAGGTGGATGGACCTAGAGTCTGTCATGCAGAGTGAAGTAAGTCAGAAAGGGAAAAACAAATACCGTATGCTAACGCGTATATATGGAATCTAAAAACCAAACCAAAAATGGTCATGAAGAACCTAGGGGCAGGAAAGGAATAAAGACGCAGACGTAGAGAATGGACTTGAGGACACGGGGAAGGGGAAGGGTGAGCTGGGACGAAGTGAGAGAGTGGCGTGGACACACATACACTCCCACATGTAAAATAGATAGCTAGTGGGAAGCAGCCGCATAGCACAGGGAGATCTGCTCCGTGCTTTGCGCGTGTTCTTTAATTGGGTTAATCGGTCCAGCACGGAAGGAAGCTGTTTCAGTTCAACCCAGGGAAGACTCGTCAGCCCTGCTTCTTCAGGCGCCTCACCTCGGAGGGACCAGGGTCTGCTCAGCCCAGGGAGGTTGTGATACACTCTGCCCAGGTCGGGGCTGCAGACCTCAGCCCAGGAAAGAAGCTACAGTCTCACCCCAGGCAAGTAGGGTCTCCTGAGCCCAGAAAGACGACCTGCTTCACACGTTCCAAAGGTAGCCAGCAGCAGCGAATAGGAAGCAGCAGGAAAGAGAAAGAAAGGCAGCCGCTCTCCCCCCCATCAACGCTGCTTTCAGGCTGGTCCCAAACAATCGCCCAGAGCCACTGGGAGGCCCTTCTGATGGCCTCACCGAGGGGAGGGTGCATTGCAGATTAAAAACAACAGCCTGCCCGTCAAAGGCAATGCTGTTAAGCATAAGAAGAGGAATGCCACGGCAGGGAGCAGATCAAAGGGCTCTGAGCATCGCAGAAGCGGCTCACAGACTCACAAAAGCACCTCTGTGCCTTTAACAGCAACCCCTGGAAGGGTCCCCGGGTTGCACAACCTGAATGCTGCCCAGAGTGATGTGGTTTGGAAATTAACCTGCCTTTTCTTCCCACTGCTGTTTTACATGTTAATTAAAGTGTTTTCCCTGGATCTGGAATGCCTGCAGGCTGGCTGGGCTCTGCAAAGGCCCTTCACTCCTCCGGCTCTGCCCTGGCCCCAGGCTCCCTCGTGCAGGGTTCCGGGATTAAATCTCTCCGAGTCTGCAAGGGACCCTGTCCTCCCTGGCTGGTACCGTGCTAGAGAACACACACTCCAATAAGGCCTTTAAAAAGTCACCCGTCACTTCCCCCAAAGATGACTGTGCTGTGCAATTTAAGGGAGCTGGGCTGTAGGAGAAATTGCTGGAAGGGCCTCCATCTCTCTCCTCCCCATCAGCCCATTCCTTTCTTTTCTTTTCATGAGCCTATTCCTTTCTTTTTCTTGTTTCCTATTCCAGCAGTGTTTGGAAAAACACCGCCTATTCACAAGCCTATTCCTTTCTTTTTCTTGTTTCCTATTCCAGCAGTGTTTGGAAAAACGTGCAAACAACTCACATTTTAAGAATAAGCTGACTTGTTTTAGATCATATATTTTGAGGGAATCACAGTGGCTCAACGTTTAAAACCACGGGAACCTGAACCCTCAACATGCAGAATTGTTCCGCAGAGCTCAGCTTCCATCCGCCTGCTCCAATCTCAGGCTCTGTGTCCCGACGTGCACCTTCGAATATCTTTTTTTTTTTTAAATTGAAGATTCACAGTGCTGCTTCAGATATACGGTAATGCCAGGATTTTCTAGTTAGATACATGTGGTTCATATATCTGTCACCAGGATAATAAAATTAAGTCATAGTACTGCCTTAGGTTTTAGATAGCTCAGCCTAATACATCCTTTTCAGTTCTGAATTATAATTTGGACTGTATCCATGAACTTCTTGGATTATGATAAGCTTACGTATTTCTTTGTGATTTTAGAGAACTTTGTTCCCTATAAAATCAGGCGTCGGGTGATTTAAACTCAACAATGCCAAATGTAGGACTAATTGGTCATCTGTCACAAAGGCAACTCTGTTTCTATGGCAAAGAGAAGATTATTCCAAAATGTATCTAACACGTGGAAGTAGATAGCAGTATACATAAGGAAATCCAGTTGATTTACTGAAAATAAAATAAAGCTACTCTCTCTATTTCCCTACTTAGCGTTCATTTATAAAATTCAAAAGAGATCAGAGAAGGTCAGGATTCATCGCAATGAGGGTTTAGGGGTGCCACGGAAAGGTGGCCTCCACACCAAACGTGAGCTGTAGCAGCAGAAATTCCATCACCGTTGACGTATTCCTTGGAAGTATGTCTACAGTATATACCACACGCTCACCTCCACCCCGCCCCTGCGTAGTAAGAGGGCACCAGTTAGGGTGGCAGAAATCCTGTACCAAACTGGTTTAATTAATAAGGAAATGCAGCGGCTCCTCCGGAGCCAGAGGCAGGGCCAGAGGCAGGGCCTGCTTCAGGGCTGGAGGGGCTGGGAGTCCTGTGTTGCCCCCTCCCCTGCCATCAGCCTAGGTCTGCATTCTTCTGCTTGTTCATCCCGCATTAGCTCCGTCCCGGGCTGGCACCTCTTGGAGTCCTGGGCTGATTGCCTGAGAACTTACCTACATTCACTGAGTGAGCTGCTTCCAGAAGGTTCTCAGCGGTGCTGGGGAAACCCTTCCATAAGCCCTAAGCCTCCCTCACATGCCATCTGGGGTCCCAAACCACCCAGCAACGAGAAGACAGCCCCCCTGGAGCTGCAGGGGGACCAGCCTCCTTCCGGCATAAGGTCCGTCGGGGCCTCAACGTTCTCTTAGAAATGTCTGTGGAATGAAGCAGGGGATCTCTAGCAGAGGAACAGCGGTGCGAAGTTGCAAGTCCCCAACCCAAGAATAACTCAAGGGGACGGAAGTGATGGATTGCCAGTCGGGAAGTTCATCCCAGGGTTTCCGTACTGAGAGCTAGGACTCAAGCCCATCTGAGGCTTCTTCCAACTCCAAGAGCCTGTAACGTTACACCTGTTTGAAATGTCCCACTTTGTCAGGACAGAAGATTCACAAAGGATTTATCGAATGCCTACTGTGTGGAGGGGACTCTTCTTTTAGGGTCTGGAT